AGTGAAGTAAACCAATCCCAAAAAACCAAAGGCAGAATGTTCCCTCTGATAAATGGATGCTGATCCATATTGCGGGGAGGGGGCATGGGAAGAATGGAGAAACTTTTGGATTGGGTAAAGGAGAGCGAGGGAAGGCAGGGAGCATGGGGGTAAGTAAGATGGTAAAATAAGATGGACATCATTTTCCTAGGTACATGTATGATTGCACAGATGGTGGGACTCTGCATCGTGTACAACCATAGAAATAAAAAGTTGTGTACAACGTGTATATACATTTGTGTATAAAGAAACGAAATGCATTCTGCTGTCATGTATAACTAATTAGAAAAAAAAATAATTTAAAAAAAGTTAAAAGAAAGAAAGAAAAAGAACAGAATTTCATTTGTATTAGCATCAAAAACAATAAGATACTTAGGGAGAACTTTAACAAGGGAAGGCAAGACCAATACACTGAAAAATACAAAACCGTAGAAAGAAATTTTAAAAGATCTAAATAAACAGAAAGACCTCTGTGTTAATGGATTAGAAGATTTCACATTGCTAAGATGGCAATAGTAACTAAATTGAACTACAGGTTCAACACGACCTATCAAAATCCCAGTCAAATAATATTCTACAAGAGTGCCAAGGTGAATCAATAGGGAAAGAATCATCTTTATGACTAATGTTGCTGAGACAACTGGATATCCAATACAAAGAATGAAGTGGAAACCCTGCAAAATGTGTAACCAACCTAGATGTAAGAGCTAAAACTATAGAACTCTTAGAAGAAACATAGGACTATATATTTTCTGGCTTTGGTTAGGCAATGGTTTCTTAGATATGACATCAAAAACTAAAAACAACAACATCAAAAAAAACCCTTAAAACTGTGAGCTGAAAATCATCCTATTGAGTTGAAAACACAACCAGGAAAACAGTAGAAAATATTTGCAAATCATATTTCTGATAAGAGACTCACATTCAATCCATGTTTAAAATCTATAGTCCAATTTGAATAATATTTTATCCAGAAATGGGTTTTAAAAACTTAATAACAGAAAGTCAAATTACCCAATTAAAATTAGGCAAAGGTTCTGAATAGACATTTTCCCAAAGAAGATCTAAAAATGGCCAATAAGCACATAAAAAGATGCTTAGTGCAATTAGCAATTAGAGAAAAGCCGATCAAAACCACAATAAGGCCAGGGACAATGGTGTAGACCCATAATCCCAGCAACTCAGGAGTCTGAAGCAAGAGGATGGCAAGTTTGAGGTCAGCCTCAGCAACTCAGCAAGGCTCTTAGCAATTTAGCAAGACCCTGTCTCAAAATGAAATTTTAAAACCTAGGGATGTATCTCAGTGGTAAAATGCCCCTAGGTTCAATCCCCAGTACCAAAAAAAAAAAAAAAAAAAAACCCACAATATACAACTTGGCATTCAGAAGGATAGCTAGGGCAAAAAAAAAAAAAAAAAGCTAGACAATAACAAGTGTTGTTGGCAAGGATGTGAAGGATTTGGAACCTTCATACACTGCTGGAGGGAATAAGAGTGCACAGCTAGTCACTTTGGAAAATTGTCTGTCAGTTCCTAAAAAGGTAATACAGAATTACCTATCATGTGACCCAGCAATTCACTCCCAGTTATATACTACAGAGAAATAAAAATAAATCTTCACCAATAATTCCTACAAGTATTATTCATAATACCCAAGAAAGTAGAAATAACCCTGATGAACAGATAAACAAAATGTGGTCTACTCATACAGTGGAATATTATTTGGCAACAAAAAATAAATGAAGGGCTGGGGATGTGGCTCAAGCGGTAGTGCGCTCACCTGGCATGTGCGGGGCACTGGGTTCGATCCTCAGCACCACATAAAAATAAAATAAAGATGTTGTGTCCACCAAAAACTAAAAAGTAAATATTAAAAGAATCTCTCTCTCTCTCTCTCAAAAATAAAAAATAAAAAAAATAAATGAAGTACTGATACTACTATAACATAGGCAGCCCTGAAAACATGTCAACTTAAAGAAGCCATTCACAAAATGACATGTAATGGTTCCATGTACACAAATCTATGGAAACAAAAAGTAGATTAGTATTTAATTGGGGTGGAGCAGGCAAGTGAGTAGGGTGGAAATAGGGACCAATGTATCACAACACTGTGAATATACTAAAAAAACAATATTTTGTATGCCAGTAGGTGGACTTTAGGGTATGTGAGTTACATGTCAATAAAGTTGTCTTTTTAAAAATATTTTTTAGAGGTATAGACCCTTATTTTTATTCATTTAGTTATATATGTGGTGCTGAGAATCAAACCCAGTGCCTCACACATGCTAGGCAAGCGCTCTACCACTGAGCCACAGCCTCAGCCCCTAGAAGACAACTTTTTAAAAGAAATGTGGTCTGACCACTTATTTTCAGAAATAACTTGAGTTTTCGTAGAAACCAGAAAAACAGGCACAGCCCTAAAGGGAAAAGATGAAAAGAGCCTGAAATCAAAAGAGGAGAAACAAGCTAAACTATGGTTACAATGAAGATAAGATTTTTTTTTCTTTTTTTTTTTTTTTTACAAAAGCTCAAATGGAGGGAAAAGAGGAACTGTTGGACGCTGTGTTATAGATGTCCCAGACTCAAGCAGGTTGTTTTCCCCAAGCATCCTTACACTGTAATCCCTAGCAGTTGCTCCAGACTTAACCTAGAGCAGGGCTGCCATCAAACAGGACAAGGACCTTCACAGCATTTGTAATCCCAGTTAAACAGCTAACAAGGAGTGAACAGAATACTTGGAAGAGCAGAGAACTTGACATTCCCAGATTCAGAGAACACAGACATCAATAGAAAACTGACCAAATGTTATTTCGCTTTTGTTTTTGTTTAGGACCTGATGACAAAACTTCAGATCTCATAGACTTAGAGATCCAAAGTGGATACCATGAGAAAATTGTTCCACTTCTGAAATATGGCAACTTAAGTTATAACCACTGTCATTCCTCCAATGGACAAACCAAAAGCAAAAGTCTTCTATTCAGATATCTGGACTGGTCCTTTCAATCTACACAAACTTTTAATCCACAAAGCCAAGAACCCACTTGTATAGCACCATTCTATGGCTATTTCTCTGAAATACCTTTTATCATTAAGCATATTTTTTGTTGTTGTTGAAATCACTTTTTATTAAAATAGATTTGGGGGCTGGAGTTGTGGTTCAGTGGTAGAACACTTGCCTGGCATGTGTGAGGCCCTGGGATTAATCCTCAGCACTGCATATAAATAAATAAATAAATAAATAAATAAATAAATAAATAAAATAAAAGATCCATTTACAACTAAAAAATATTTTTAAAAAATAGATTTTGCAATCTGTCCATATGGTTAGTCATTTTATTAGAAGTCACAGCACTCTGGGTGTTTTTTATTTGTTTTTTGTTTTTGTTGTTGTTGTTTGTTTTCTGCTATGCTTGGTAAGAGGTAGGATGATTACATTTAGGATTCTGCTTGTTTTCTGCACTTCTTTTATGTCATATTCCTTGATTTTTGTAAATGCAAAATCTTTTTCTTTTCTATTAACCACTCCAAAAATGTTTTGTGACGAACTAAATTTAGGACACTACTTCCTGCCTACCTGTTGTACTGGAGTGATGATTTAATTCTATCTTTTTTAGTGTAGAAAGTTAAAAATATAACTCTTACTTGAAATGAAAGACATCACACTGCTTTAAAATGAGACAAAGAAAAAAACTATTATTTGCACCCAACACTTTTCTAAATTTAAGATCCTAATCAATACCCCCCACCCCCCAGTCCCTCAAAAGCCATCAACGTGAGGTCTTTGTGATGTTTGCAGCAGTGTAGCCATGTCATGGTCTGTCTGTAAGGGAAGGTGCAGTCCCTTCTGGATTGATTTCTCTCCCTTACAGAGGGTCATTCTTTGGGGCATTAACAGAAGCCTCAGTGAAGCTTAGGATATTTCAGGGACTGAAGCTGTGTAACATAAACAAACCCATTGGGGGTGAGGGGTGGGGGTGGGATGAGAGAATGCTATCTAGTTAGACATCCTGGAGCAGATTAATAAACCTTCCTCTGTGCCTTGTCATTTCCTTTCAGCAAGATCCTGTTGATGTTTGCACAATTTAAAAAGTGTATCACATATCTCAATGAACAACATAGATGGTTCCTTTGAGGTTACCGGGTTTTTTAATTGTTGATGGGAAAATATCAAAACAATAACTTTCAAATTTATTTCATTATCCAATCACGTGGCACATCACCGAATAGAATAGTGTTTATCTCTATACAGCTGGGGAAATACCAGACGTACCTTCCTTCCTTTTTTTTTTTTTTTTAAGAAGATGGAAAAAAGAAACTGTTAAAACAGGGCATTGTAACTCAGAAACGTCACACACATTTCCATAAAACGAACAAGAACTATGTTCATGAGATGTTTCCCTAAACTTTATAGTTTGTGTCTAACATAAACAAAACAAGTATGATTTGAAACAATTACGGGTTTCTTCTGGTAGTTAGTTATTAAGTATTCAGCGTCCTGCCAGGATAGGAGAAGGCCATCGGCACTTCTCCGAAAAACAAACCATAAATCAGTTGACAAGCTTGAAAGAATTCAGTTCTAGTCTGTTAGGAAGCCAAGGGTAAATACAGAAAAACCTGTTCGCATGTTTTTCTTGCTCTCTAAGTTTCGCGTTTTAAAAACACAGTAATACGCAAATGGCGTTTCTCGTAAGTTTCTGGCTCCAAAGAAATTTGGACAAAAACCAAAGCCAAAGCATGTCGCGCAGAAGTGAGGCCTGTGCCTTTAAGGTAAAATCGGCCAGATCCCAAAAGACATTCCACTTTTCACGACAAAGAGTTTGGCGAGCGCTACCTCTGGGGTTTCTCCGAGGGACTTGGCGGGTCCGAGAGGAACCCGTGGAGTCCGCTAGCCCCGGCCTGTCCCGGGGGCCCCGCTAGCCCCGCGCCCGCGCTGCGGGAGCGCATCGCGCGCGCCGGGACTCACCGCTGCCGGGCTGCGGGGACAGCGTGGAGACCGAGGTCTGGCCCATGGCCAGGGTCGCAGGGCCAGGTCCAGGGATCACGCGGTTCCTTCGGTCCTTCGATCATGGGTCTTCTCCCAGACAGCTTCCCAAGCGTCCATTTCCCCTCCCGAGCCGAGCAGCCCGCCCGGCCCCGCACCTTCTCCCGAGCGCGGGTCCCCAGCCCGGCCGGCCGTAGCCGGCGCGGCGGATCCAGCCCAGCGGATGCCTGTCATTCCTCTATGCAGATTAGCTGGGGTCAGGGGTCACAGGGAGAAAGGAGGGGGCCAGGGCGATAGGGAGGGGAGGAGGGGCAGTGGGGTTGGGGGGACAAGCTGCAGAAAGGTCCTGGGGGAGGCCCGGGCAGGGCCGGTGGCACCCAGGGGGCTGGGAGACCCGCACCCCCTCAGGGTAGTAGAGAACCAGATTATCAGAATATTCCCCTTTAATTTAAAAGGTTCAATGTCAAATGATCCTTAAGGGCTAAAAGAAAAAGGAATTAAAGTACTTAGTCACGGTACTTAATTTAAGAAAATTTCTCTCTTGAAAGTTAGTTCCTTCCTGATACTCCCAAGTACTGCAGCGCTGTTGAATGTGCGAGATGTGGGGTTTGCTCCTTTTAATAATCATCTTCCTTTTAACAAATACGATTAAAACAAAAAACGATCTTAATGGCCTCAGGTTGGACAACAAATCTAAATGAGGGTATCAAGTGTGAAGTCAACTAAGCATGATGCACTTAGCGCTGGACCACAGAAACTCCCGGGGTGTTCATTTCCTGTCTCTCCAAGAATCACCACTAAACAAGGTGTTTAAAATGTACAGAAGGTGAAAAAACAGTAACAACAATCAATATTCTAAAAGATACTATCCCCTGAAAGCTGAAGTAAACCCTACTATAACATCCTCTTAAATCTCAATTTTCTTAAAACTAAAATTACAAATAAATACTCCATCTTGACAATTGATGATTAGTATATTGAGTCATTTGGATTAATATATGTATGGTGCATTAGATGGAACAGTGGTCACATCAATGTGTTCATTTTATGAAAATTCACTGAGCTGTGTCCTGGTATGAGCATCTTTCTAAATGCATACACTTCATTAAGAAGTGAAAAACAAAAGTGCAATATAGTGGGTCGCTGACACCAGCTTTCATTTCGTGGTTTATCCTAGTCAACTCTGAAATTATGAAAAAAGCAGTTATCATATGTGTCTTACAAGATAATCTGAGTTTTAATACTTTAAACATAATCATTTTCCTACCATTTGTATTAAGATTAGGCAGGGCCTTATTTTATTTTTATTTTTGAAAAATGCTTGTTTCATTATTGTTAAATAAATTGCTGTATTTTTTCACACCCAAATAGCGGAAACTTTGGTTTATGGAAGAGCCTTTTCTTAAAATAGTGTGATCAATTTTCTGCTTCTCTTTGCCTCATTCACTCTGAAGAAACCCTGATTTGGGGGAGGGGGCTGGGATCAAATCCTTGGAGCATGCTAGGGAAACACTGCCACTGAGCTACATCCCTAGTCTAAGAAATCATGATATTTCCAATGAAACGGGACTTAATCAGAATGTGAGTTCTAATTAGGGCAATCAAATTAATCCTGAATTTCCTTGCAAAATACAAAAACGTTGGGTTTTAGGAAAACAGTCCACCTGGGGAATCCAGTAGTGAAAGTAAGCAATTATATTTGCTTTTTCTTCCATATCTTTGCTTTAAGTTGCCTTAAGGAACAAACAAAATAGTTAAATCTAAGTCAGAGGAGGGAATGTCTTATTACTCCTCCTATTGACAGAGCTTAACTGATAAAGAGGGTCAGTAATTCCAGAAAATAGACGTTAAATCTTATACATTAAAAAAACATAGATATAATAATTTTAAGAAATTGATAAAAGTTAAACACTGAGGTACAATATTATTTTTTGCTATCACTACTTCTTTTCCTTGAAAAACAATGGTGTACTTTTTTTTTTCCTTTCTTCTACAGATTCTTATTATAAACATCAAGGGTGCTCTTCAGTTCTAGTTTTTCAGGATTTGCTTAATACATCCATATTTACCTTATACAAGACCTTTCATGATTTCCTAGTCAATAGAATCTTTAGCCTCATCTGGGAGTCTTATAATCCCTGATCAGGTTACATAATTTTCTCTGAAATTCTTCCAGTTCCATTACATTATCCTTGAAGCATGTCAACCTAAATGGCAGGAAGTATTCACTAAATTTTCTCTTTTTAAAAAATATTTATTTCTTGGTGTAGATGGACACAACACAATAGCTTTATTTTTATGTGGTGTTGAGGATCGAATCCAGGTCCCGCCCGTGCTAGGTGAGCGCTCTACTGCTGAGCCACAATCCCAGCCCACTAAGTTTTCTTTATAAGGGTGGGATGGTTATTCTGTTTTCACACTGATAGGACTTGGTGTTTAAATGGCTCTTTAAAAAAAAAAATCATAGCTAACAAATTATGCTAAGGAGGATAGAAAAGTCTATAAAGAAGTCCCTAAATTCCATTTGAGGTCATAACATAAAGATTAGGTGTTATCATTTAACAAGGGTATTTTAATGTAATTCCTCCCCAAGTTGTCTTACTCTTGGCTTAATAGAACTCGTGCAGCTTTACAAATAGGACTGGGTGTTACTCTCATGGGTTTATAGTTGAACACTGGAAACACTCAATGTCATCTGAAAAATATGGTCATTTCTCTGTATACCTCTTTCTAGGGAATTTGTAAAAATACTCAGCAATATTAGTGCCAATACTAACTCTGAGGAAGCCATCTATTTATAATTCTTCAGCATTTATCCCATTGGTCTCACTCTTTGTTCTGTATTGCTAACCCAATCTTTTATCCCATGGTATCCTAGTAAATGCTTAACAGCTGGTTTAGGCTAGAGGTGGGAGACAGAGGACAGCACAAGATCAATTTGTGATTTCTACTGTTTGCTGATCTTCATGATGTAAATACTCCAACAATGGTCAATTCTACCAACAACCAAACAGCTAGCAGAACTGAAGTCATGGGCTTGCAGATGTCTTTGAAACGAAACAGTTTGGCCCACAAACCTGGATGAGTCGTCTTCAATGCACCATGACTTCTTTTTTTTTTTTTTTTTTTTTAACAGAGAGAGAGAGAGAGAGAGAATTTTTTAATATTTATTTTTCAGTTTTCGGCGGACACAACATCTTTGTTTGTATGTGGTGCTGAGGATCGAACCCGGGCCGCACGCATGCCAGGCAAGCACGCTACGGCTTGAGCCACATCCCCAGCCCCCACCATGACTTCTATCTGGTATGATACACTGCCATTAAATCATACCATGACTGAATTTGAGGAACAGTTTCTATTAAGCTTTCCTAAAAATATAGAATAATGGCATTTACTTATTTTTCCACTGAACACCCATCTAAACATTTTTCAACTCCTGAAAGAATTATGATTTATTCATTTACTTCTAGAAAAAATCAAAATTGAGGGGATTACTTGGAATTTCCCCTTCTGAGTACTTACAAGGTTTTCAAGTATTCTACCCTACAACACAGATTTCACTGTCTTGTTTGATGCAGGAGTGATTAAGCTCATCCATCTGGAGTACCCAGAGTGACACCTACACTTGTCCTGGACAAAAGTCACTATATTTGTTAGATAAAATTTAAAGCAGACATAAACCTAAACTTTACCAATGGAGATTTTGTGGAAAAGTCCTTTCTTACCAGGGCAAGATTCAAATTACAGGCATACAATTTGGTGGCTCAAGAAGACGGCTGACAATGAGTACAACCACTACTGCAAATCCTGAAACTTCAGTCACCACTAGACTTTTCCAAGTAGCCAAATCTAAGCTTGGAGTCAGAGGCAGGAAGCACGAACCTTCCTCCCCCAAGAGCATTCATGCCAGGCACCTTTTCTGCTAGGACCCACTGTTTTGGGGGTGGGGGCTCATGATGGGAAGTAAGGACTAGATAGAGTTCCAGCAGATGAGATGGGTATCAGGACAGTAGTGGTCTTGGAAGCTAAGATGGCTGCTGATTGTGGGCACATACGAGGACATGAAGATGACATTAATTGACACCCTTAGTTCCGTATTTGGCCATGAGGATAGAGCTAGTGATGTTTCCTTGGCTAATGAGAACTGTAGCAAGAACCGTTTCCCAGTGGACGGTAAATGAACTCAAACATAGAAATTTTCCAAATAAAGATTTTTTTTCTCTTTTGGTTTTTTTTTTTTTTTTTTTAGGGTTCCACTCTGTTTCTCTGGCTAGCCTTGAACTCCTGGGCTTAAGTGATCCTCCTGCCTCAGCTTGCTGAGGAGCTGGAACTATAGGTGCATACCACTGAGCCTGATTCTCCAAATAGAATTTTCCAAAATTTATCTGTTTGTTTTCTTCATATACCGGTCAGAAAAAAACAAAGGAAACTCATAGATTATCTAAAACTATCATTTTAGCTAATTATTTTATTTCACCTACCATTATCAGATTTACTAAAAAGCAGGAATCTGTCTTTTCTCTCTTCCTTTCATAGAATTGCTAGAAGGTAATTTTTTTCTAAGTGATAAGAATTTCTTAAAACAAGAGTTTCTAATAATTAGTAAAATAATACATATATATTACATAAAAATCTCAAACTAAAAACTGATATGCAAAAAAATTTTAAGTATTCAGGTAGGCTCCCTCCAACCTTTTTTTTTTTTTTGTACTAGAATTTCTTCCAATGTTTTTTAAACTTTGCATTTCTTCAAAACTTGGGTACATTTTTATAAGGGGCAGACTACTTAGGAAAACATGACCATCTAAAAGTAAATAGAACTTTTACTGGATATTATGCTTTCAGTTGACTTTCTGGATTGTAACTAGTGTTTACTTTTAAAAATGTAACCTACTGCAGTTGCAAACTAACTACTTACCATACCTTTTATTTTGACAATTAGGAAAGACAGTAGTTTTAACATGATATTAACCAATTTTTTAAAAAAGATCTTTTTTAAAGCAAAGCATCACAACTAGTTATATTAAGCATCAGTAGAAGAGAAGACCACATTCCATAAATATTGGGCAGAACAGGAAACCAACCTGTAACACAAGCTTTTCTTTCCTATTGTTCTCATATTTTTATGTGATTTATTTCCCGAGTTTCCCTTCTTCTGCTTGCTCAAGCTAACAGGATTAACAAAATACCTTACTTCTGCCCCTCCCTGAGTCAGTCTCTGCAGA